AGAATCTCGTAATATCCATTATGTGTAACACACTAATAGGAATATTCTTAAAACTGTGATAAGCTTCAGGATGTAGTGGTAGTAATAACTTTTAGATATAATTTTCTTTGCCACCTAAGTCTAAAGTGTCAGGTCTGTTAAGTACTTCTGAATTTATTAGATGGGATCTGTTAAGCATAACACTCAGTTTTCCACTACTGTTTAATTTTTTGCCCAATTTGTCTTCTCTGATTGGGGCAAATTGGTGGTAGTGAAGAATCATATAGATGGCAGCTGAAAATGTGAAGACCTGGGTTTGGGTGTAATGTAGAAGAAAAATCTGAATTGAAGTTCAGGATGGAAGCAAAGTATCGTAACGAGACAAGCAGTTTTGAGTATGAGACTCTTAAAGATGAGGTGATATCATCAACTGGGAAGATAGGCTATTAGGTCAGAAGCCTGAAAAATTGGGAGCATGTATTAAGATTGGAAACAGTGTTTAGAGCTGACCAGAGATGTTAGGTCATAACAATCACCCCAAACCTTAGTGGCTTAAAGTGACAATAAATAATAATTTTTTTATCTCTCCTGGTTCGAGTGGGTCAGGGATTTCGAATAGGCTTACATGGACAGTTCCAAACATTTCATCAACTTTTCTCCCTAATATATTTATGATTTTTGATTTTTAAAAATTCACCAATAGGTGGCAATGTAAGATACTGGAAAAGAACTTATATTTAAATATAATAGTAACAAAACCTTTATTTGGCCTTTCTTCCCTAACCTACCAGTTGTTTTGAGGCATATTTTTCTATTTAATGTACTTACGCTGATCTGGTGACGTTTTCTAATTCACATTAGTGTTTTTAGAGGGATGTTCCAAGATTTTTAGCTTCAGAGGACATAATCAATTTACATGTATACATGTGTGTGTTTGTGTGTGTGCATGTGCTCACATTAATTCAAGGTACTATTTGATGTAAGCAGTAAGACAGATTGATGTAAATTTATAAAATAATGACAGATTTTCCATAGTGTATTGAACCATCTTAAGTTAGCAGATTCTTTCAGTCAAGCTTTAATTTTTGAACGGAAGAAATTTTCTTCAAGCCTTTCTCTAAATCCCTTTTCTTCTGCTCTCCAGAGCTTCACAGCTGCCATTCTCCTTGTAGTTTCTGTAAAATTATTTCTAACTATAGATATTTTCAAACCTACTACCTCATACATATATCATTGTTTGGGAATGAGGTTTTCCAGAAAATATATTTACCAGGTAACTAAAACTTACTCCTTTTTAACATTAACAATTCTTATTTTAAAATTGTTTTAATGTTCAAAAATGTTATATACGTTGCTACCTTAGTTAAATATTAACAATATGAATAGCATCATTTGACTTTTTTATTGACTCAGGGTTATTAACAAGCATATTTACTTTTCTTTTTTCTTTTTACTTCTTGTTCCTCAGATATCCTTACTAAGGATAGGGCTTCTTCTCTCAGCCTCTGTTACCATGCTAACAAATAGGTCTTTTATGTCAAAGAGATTACAAAAATAATGCATATTCTTAAGCAAAGTACAAACAGAAGAAAAAGGTGTATACTGAAAAAGTTTCTTTCTCTTTGCCCCACTGTTGTCTCATATATATTCTTCTATAAATTTTTTGTGCTTACAGAAGCATGTATTTTATATTAGAATGTTTGAGGGATCCTTCAAAGCCACCCTCAGATTCAGTAATTCACAATAAGAGCTCATAGAACTCAGAAAAGCCATTATATTCAAGGTTATGGTTTGTTACAGCAAAAAGATACAAATTAAAATCAGCAACAGGAAAAGGCATATAGAGCAGGGCCAAGGAGAGTTCCAGGTGTGATCTTCCAGGAGAACCATTCAGAGAGTGCTTACTTCTCCCAGCAATGATTTGTTCATGGAGTATTGCCAACCAGGCATGCTCGCCTGAGCCTCAAGAGTTTGGGCTTGGTCACGTAGATATGGTTGACTACCCATGTGGCTGATCTTAGTCTCTAGTTCCTCCAGTGGTCAGATGCCACATGTCCCAAGGCCCCCTACCATAGATATCATATTGTTAGCACAGCCTATCTGGCATGTCCCAAGGCCTCCAGGTAAACAAAGGCACACTTACCAGGCAGGACATTCCAAGAGTCTTAGAGGTACCTTCTGGGATCTGGAGACAAAGTTCAAACCTTTCTTTGGGCAAGGTTAATCCTTTACTGTACATACATACACATATGTATACATAGATAAAATCACCCTATTTGAGGTGGTTTAAAAACAAATGGGATCATAATATAGGTAACTATTCTGCAGCTCTCTTTCTTTTTATTTAATAATATATTTGGCATATCTTTCAAGGTTTGTACATAGAGATATATATCAACATTGATCGCTAATTTTAACTCTGCAAATTGTACCATTATACTGTAGTTTAACCCCTGTTAGCAGACTCCCATGTTTTTTTTCCTATTTCTATGAAAAATGTCCTTTGTATTTTGATAAAGATTGCATTGAATCTGAGGATCACTTTGGGTTATGTGGACATTTTAACAATATTAATTTTTCTACTCCATGAACATAGGATATATTTCCATTTGCATCCTCTTCAATTTCTTTTATTAATATTTTACAGTTTTCATTGTAGAGAACTTTCACCTTCTTGGTTTATTCCTAGATATTTTTGTAGGTGTTGCAAATAGAATTGCTTTTTTGATTTCTTTTTCAGATAATGTAATATTGGCATATTGCTTTGCCTTTACTGAGAAATGTGAAAGGTTTTTCTTTACCTTCTAAGTAATTGACCTAGAAACCAATGATTCTGTATTTTATCAAGATTATTTCCTGCATTTCATGTATTTTTTCAGGTGTTTGATTTCTTTAAAACAACTGAGTTCTCTCTATTAAAAGAGCTAAGACTTTTTGTACAACTATATTGTACATATGGCTATATGGCTTTCCCTATTTGCCTTTGAAATCTTTTAATTATCACTGTAGTTAAATAAATATTGTTCCACAGTTATCTGTAATATTATTTTAATCAGGTGTCTTAAACTCTTTGAGATTTTTGGCAACTTTCCAAAGTCAAATTTTAAATTAAGATCTTTTTTACTTCATAATAACTTTGGGAGTTTCCAGATGTGCCCCTGGAATATTGTAAAATAATATGTTCTTTACTTATAAAATGAAAGATGTTAAACTAATTATCCTTGTTAGGTATGTTAAATTGTTTGGGAAGCTTGTCAAGTAATAAATGATATTGAGCTTTCTTTGAATCATGTGGGTATGTTATTAATGTGTGTTTCAGGAATTATATAAGATTCCTTAGAAATCTGATAGTCCTGGTATAACACTATCAGTCTTAATTCTAGTTATTATCTTCAAATAGTGTATGTTACAGACATAATGAAATTTCTTTGTCAGTTGCATTGTG